ATATATATATATATATATATATATATATATATATATAGATAGATATATATATATATATATATATATATATATATATATATATTTGTTAATGGAAAATTGAAAAAAATTCCGGTAATTTTCACTTGTTTAGGAAATTCAAGTTGGAATGGGTCCTGCAGGGGAGCTTCGTTATCCCTCTTATCCAGAGGCAAACGGTACATGGAGGTTCCCTGGAATCGGAGCTTTCCAGTGTTATGATAAGGTATTTCAAGGGTGAAAAATGCAATTAAATTCTTTGGGGGTGAAAAGTGCCGAAATATTATATTTGATGGGTGCAAAGTAGAATTAATCCCCAACTATCGGCCGTAGAGGATTATTACACATACTCAAATCAAGATATTTGTTGTTCTTGATTTTTGGAAGATAGTTTCTTGTACCTGAAAATCTCATTTTTTTTTTTTTTTTTTTTTGCAGTACATGATAAGTAGCTTGCAAGCAGCAGCAGATGCACACGGCAAGCCCGAATGGGGAACCACAGGCCCCACAGATGCGGGCCAGTACAACAACTGGCCCGAAGATACAAACTTCTTCCGTAAAGAAGGCGGCGGATGGAACAGCCAGTACGGCGAGTTCTTCCTCTCATGGTACTCACAAATGCTCCTCGACCACGGCGAGAGGATACTAAAATCGGCCAGCGGCATTTTCAGAAACGAGGCCGTGAAAATCTCAGTCAAGGTAGCGGGTATCCACTGGCACTACGGGACCCGGTCCCACGCCCCCGAGCTGACAGCTGGCTACTACAACACCCGATTCCGAGATGGGTATTTGCCGATCGCCCGCATGCTCGGCCGCCACAACGCGGTGTTCAACTTCACGTGCATCGAGATGCGGGACCACGAGCAGCCCCAGGACGCTCTTTGCGCGCCGGAGAAGCTCGTGCGCCAGGTGGCGATGGCCGCGCAGGAGGCGCGGGTCCCGCTAGCTGGGGAGAACGCCCTACCTAGGTACGACGAGACAGCGCACGAGCAAATCTTGAGGGCTTCGGCTTTGGAGGTGGATGGTGATTCGGTCGAGATGTGTGCGTTTACGTATTTGAGGATGAATCCGGATTTGTTCCATCCGGAGAACTGGAGGAGGTTTGTTTCGTTTGTGAAGAAGATGAGAGAAGGGAGAGACGCGCAGAAGTGTTGGGAGCAGGTGGAGCGGGAGGCGGAGCATTTCGTGCACGTGACTCAGCCTTTGGTGCAAGAAGCTGCTGTTGCACTTATGCATTAGTGCCTCACTAATGTGTGTGTGTGTGAGATCACATATATATATGTAGTAGAAAGTAATTATGTATATATTGGATAATGTATGTATGTGTAATTTCCTGGACTTCTTGTATACTGAAATGTGTTGTATTATTGAAGAATTTGAGAAATTCAATTGGCTTTTATCATGTGTTTCTGTGTTATATTTTGCAGATTGCATTTTGTAAATAAATCTTATGGAATATATATACACACACACACACACACACACACATATTTATGGTTCACCATTGTATAAAATTATGGCTCCGCCACTACGTCAACACATACTAGATCGAGTTCGTAACATATGTCTATTGTGATTTACATTTCTCGTGCCGCTTGTAAACTTTGCATAGGAGCATCCTATACATTGAAATCAGACGGATAAGATTAGAACTGACACTTTCGGAACAAAAATCAATTTTTTTGGGTATTGAAAAACTAACTTCAATTTCGTTAAAAAACTCGAAAAAACAGATATCTAAACTGTAGAAATTGAAATTTTGTAACAAAAAAGACTTGGTTCCAAAATTGAAAATTTTTGTATTAGAATCGGCGGAGTTCAGAAATTCCATTTTTCAGTCACATATAATATAAAATATATGATAATATTGATATTATAATGGTATTTTTTCGAAAATAATTCCAAAAGTCGAAAAATCAGACTTCTCAAAAATCAGGTTTTTTTCTTTACTATATTCTAAAATAGAAAACTTTCAGATCAAAATCGACGAAATTCAGACCTCCCGATGGTACAAAATGGCAAGTGGAGCATATTTTTCGTGAAAACATGGATACAAACTTCACACTCCACAAGGTCAAAACCAGCAGTAATTCACTCCTCACCAACAATTTATTAAAACCAAATTGCCACTTGTCATTTCTCTACTGGTTCATATATTACTATAAAAACACCCCATAAACTCACAAACTACTCAAGTTATTTTCTTCTCAATTTATCTGTACATTCAAACCAAATACTTTTTAATCTTCTATAAAAGAGATCTAGGTAACGATGTCGAGCGGTCAACACAATGCTGGTCATACCCACGGCCAAACTCAGGTTCAAGTAATTACCCATTATGTCCTTTTCTATCTCATCTTTAAAATTAGAATAATTTCCTACCGATTAATTAATTATTTAATTAATAATATATTTGGTTCTTTAAATTATGTCTTGTATTTAATTAATTAGATTCTGGTATTATATATGAATTGTCAATAAAATCTCTTATTTAACAAAATTATTTGCAGTGAGTTATTAATTTCATCAAATAGTAGCATTTAATTGCGAACTTTCATTTTAATAGCGGACCAGAGGAAAATTGAATCTTACTAACTAAACATCTTATTAACTCATACTATTTAATCGATCCAACTTAGTACTTAGCAAGCAAACGACACCTGAGTAAATATTGTATCAAATATAACATGGGTTCATCGCATTTAGCACCCACGTATTAGTTATAATCGTAAAAAGAATGCTCGTGTCAAAAATATTAGAAAAGCCCCCTACAATTCATTCTTTTAGCAAAAGAACCCCTAAAAGTGTACCATATAGGGGTTGTGTGCTAACAAAATACACCATACTGATCTCCTTTTCTAGTATTTATAACATAGAGGTATTAAATGCAATAAATTCGATATAACATCTATCATTCATTCGATCATTCACAAATTAAAAGATCGTGTGAATAATATAGATTTCACTTAAACATCTATAAACTAATACAATCAGAACTAACAAATTCTACTAATTCAGCACAATATTAAATTATCGAACTAATAATTTAATATATTTTTACCAAATCGGGTGTTGGAAAAGTTGGGCCCAAATGGTCCATATATTGAGACTGGCCCAACACCTCAATTAATTTCGTGGCCCATTCCTCGGAGGCAGCCCAAACACCAAGCTGGCCCAGCAGCTTAAGTTGTAAGTTAATCTGGACCGTCAATTTTGAGAGGTAATCTCAGCCCTCCATATGACACATAAATACTCCATCTCTCTTCCATTTCTCCTCCATATCAAACCCTAAAAACGGCTGCACCTCTCCCTCTTTCTCTCTCGAATTTTTCTGCAACAACTCACCGCTTCTGCCGCCGAATATGGCGTTGCTAGAATCGGATGCGAAGAAATCGCTAAATTTGTTGTTTTTCGGGTTTATTTATACCCCTCCTTGAGAGACGAGGGAGAGACGACGATAGCTAAGTTATACAGCCCCTTTTCTTGTTCAATTTCCCATTTTTCTTCGTGATTTGAGTGGGTTAACAGATCTGTGTGATTTGTGAGAGTTCTTTGTGAGTTCGGTGTTTCTGTGTGAGAACAAGAAAAGAGGGGTCTTCTGTGGGTTTTAGATCTTGGATATTTCCAAGATCGGTTCTGGGTTCGGGTCGAGAAAAGAGTGAGGAGAGATTGAGTGTTTTTGCTGCGTGTTTGGGCTTGTCACCGGAATCGTTGGCTGCCTCATCCGGGATCGGTGTGTAGCTCGTGGGAACTGTGAACTGAGCCGTGGATTCTCCTCAGATCTGATAGATAGATCTTCTGGGTTAGCATAAATAATAAATATATATTGTGTAATCTTTATTATTTCTGCTTTATTCTTAGAATTGCTTGTACTCCCTAACCCCTTATTCCCATAGGATTTAATCTGTAATTTATTACAGTTTATGTTTATTATTTGGTCTGTAATAACTATTGAGTTCAACGGGTACCCAACAGTGGTACCAGAGCATTAAATTGTTGTACCCGTTGAACTGGCGTACAAAACCCTACCATGGGTTTTGCTCAGGTATTGTATTCTAAACCCCCTATGGTTGGTTTTAATTTTCCTGTTTATTTTTTGGTTGCGTTTCTGGATCTGTGTGTCCAGTTTTATTAATTGTTGGATCTGTGTGTCCATTAATTGTTGGATCTGTGTGTCCATTAAGTGCTGGATCTGTGTGTCCATTTGTGTTAATTTAGCTGAATCTGTGATTCAATCTGTGTGTGCTAAATTCTCGTTTATTTATTCCGCTGCGTACTTGAATTGTCTTAACGATACCAAATCTAGATTTATATTTCGATTTAGTTTAACCTCTCTCTCTACACAAAAACCCAGCTTGCGGGAACCGCTAGTGCTTCCTGATCTGGTTGGGGTAGTTGAGGGAGGACTGCTAGGTTTTCGTCACTTGCTTTACGTTAACTTTAGTATCGTTTATTTGCGCAATCGTAATTTTTTATCCTGCTGTGTGTTCTGGATAATGGCTTCTATGACTGCTTATTCTGTGGCTCCTTTTGATGGAAAAGGTGATTTTTCAATCTGGCAACAAAAAATGAAAAGTATTTTAATTCAACAAAAATGCTTTAAAGCTATTTCTTTAGAAGATGTTTTTATGGCTAATGCCAGACGTGAAGAATTTGATGAACTTGCTTATGCCTCTATTATTCTGAATTTGAGTGATTCGGTGATTAGAAAAGTAGGAAAGCATGAATCTGCTAGAGAACTTTGGGATAAGTTGGAGGAACTTTATACTGAAACTTCCTTGCCCTCAAAATTGTTTTTGCTCGAAAAATTTTTCAGATTTAAACTTGACTTGAACAAAGAGATTGATGTCAACATCGATCAATTTACAAAACTTGTTCAAGATATTAAACTGACTGGAGATAAAAATATCGATGATTATACTCCAATTGTTCTTTTAAATGCCATACCTGAGTCTTACAATGATTTAAAATCTGCCATTAAATATGGTAGGGACTCTGTGACTCTTGATGTAGTTATAAATGCTTTGAAAAGTAAGGAGTTGGATTTAAAAGTGAACAAGAGCAACAAATCTTTTGGTGAGGTGAACTTTGTGAAAGGAAAGCAACAAAATCGTTTTCAAAACAAAAACCCGGCTTTCAATCAAAATGCTCAAAGTTCTTCAAATTTTCAAAACAAGAAAAAGGGCAAGTGGAATGGAAAGTATAATGTGAAACCAAATACTCCTAGGAAGTGTTATAATTGTGGTGATCCAAACCATTTTTCTAATGTGTGCCCTAAACCTAGGAGAGATCAGAAAATTGCTAATGTGAATCAAGTTTCTGATAATATGGGTGATGTTTTTATGCTAAGTGGTATGCATGCTTCTGTGAATTCTGTGTTAGCCTCTCTTAGTGAGAATGAATGGCTTCTTGATTCTGCATGTTCATATCATATGACTCCACGTAGGGAAGTTTTTTCTGACTATGTGCAAATGAAAAACTGTGGTGTTACTTTAGCTGATGGCACTAGAATAGTTGTGAATGGTATAGGAACTGTATGCTTAAAATTTGTTTCGGGCTATGTGTTAACCTTGAAAAACGTGAGGCATGTTCCTACTTTAAGTAATAATTTGATTTCGTGTGCTGTACTTGAAGATGATGGTTTCCGTGGGGATTGGGGTGATGGTTGCATGAATATTATGAAGGGTAGCCGTTATTTGTTTAAAGCTTTGAGAATGGGAAATATGTATGTTTGTTCTGCTGAATCTTCTGCATCTGTGAATGTTGTCCAAAATGATTTATCTGAATTATGGCATAGACGGCTAGGTCACATGAGTAATAAAGGGCTTAGTATATTGCATAAAAATCAGTATTTTGGAAATGATAAAGTGTCTTCTGTGACTATTTGTGATTCATGCATTTTAGGTAAACAAACGCATATTCCATTTCCTGAAAATCCCTCTCCCAATCCATCTAGATGCAAGGAAATCCTAGAATATATTCATGCTGATGTGTGGGGTCCCGCCAGTGTTCCTACACATGGTGGGAACCGTTATTTTCTGTCTATTATTGATGATTATTCTCGTAAAGTGTTTGTTTTCCTGTTAAAGCAAAAATCGGATGTTTTTGATAAATTTAAAACGTGGAAAACGTTGATTGAAAATCAAACAGGTAAACGGATAAAAACACTTAGGACAGATAACGGTACTGAGTTTTGCAACCTAGAATTCGACAATCTGTGTGCTGAATCTGGAATTAGAAGGCATAAATCTGTTGTGCACACCCCACAACAAAATGGTGTGGCCGAACGAATGAACAGAACCCTTCTCGAAAGAGTAAGGGCTATGTTAACTAGTTCTGGACTGCCAAAGTTGTTTTGGGGTGAAGCAATTTTGACTGCTACTTATTTGATTAATCGTTCTCCATCTGTGCCATTAAATGGCGACTTACCTGAATCTGTGTGGTGTGGTAAGAAAGTAGATTTGTCAAACTTGCATGTTTTTGGTTGCGCTGCTTTTGTTCACCATAAAGGTGATAAACTTGAACCCCGTTCCGTGAAATGTGTTTTCTTAGGTTACCCCGATGGGGTTAAGGGGTATAGGCTATGGTTGAAAGGGGAATTTGGTTATAAAACCATAATTAGTAGGGATGTTATTTTTAATGAATCTGAATTTCCTTGTCTTGCTGTCCCTAATGTGGTTATTCCTCAATCTACTCCAAATGAGGTGGAGCAATTGCCTATTAAATCTGATGATGTGAGTGATTCTGAATTATCTGAAAATCTGCAAGATCAAACTGTTGAAACTGATTTGCCTATCGTGGATGATTTATCTGATTATCAACTTGCTAGGGATAGACCTAGACGTGAGCATGTTAGGAAACCTAAACACTTTGATGATTTTCACCTTGCTTCGCATGTTTTTAATGTGTTTGAATCACTTGATGGAAATGAGCCTAAGTCGTATAAAGATGCTTTAAAATCTAATAAATCTACCGAATGGTTAAATGCTATGAATGATGAAATGAACTCGTTGCATGTTAACCATACTTGGGAACTTGTGCCTAAACCTGCTAATTGTTCTGTGGTAGATTGCAAATGGCTGTTTAAGGTCAAAAATGAAGTAGATTCTATTAGGTATAAAGCTAGGCTTGTGGCCAAGGGCTTTACTCAAAAAGAGGGTGTTGACTACACCGAAATTTTTGCCCCTGTTGTTAAATTCACTACTGTGCGTATTATGCTTGCTTTAGTTGCTCATTTTAATTGGGAATTGAAGCAAATGGATGTTAAAACTGCGTTTTTGCATGGTGAATTAGATGAAACGATCTATATGAAACAGCCCGAGGGCTTTATAGATCCTAATAAAGGTGAACATGTGTGTTTGCTTAAAAAGTCTTTGTATGGCTTGAAACAATCTCCTAGGCAATGGAATAAGAAATTTGACTCTTGCATGCTTTCTTTGAATTTTAAACGAAGCGACTTCGATCCTTGCCTTTATTTTATGGAGAATGCTCGTATTCCTATGTTTCTGTTAATTTATGTTGATGATATGCTCCTAATTAGTCCTTGCTTGAAATCCATTGATTATATCAAAAAGTGTCTAAGTGAACAATTTGATATGAAGTATTTAGGAGATGCCAAGAAGATTCTTGGAATTAATATTGATAGGGATCGTAGTAATAACACCTTGTTTCTCAATCAAATTTCTTATGTTGAAAAGATCTTGGAAAAATTCTCAATGAATTCTGCTAAATCTGCTTCTGTGCCATTAGCTGCCCATTTTTTGCTAAGTAAGACTCAGTCTCCTTCTACTGAATCTGAAATGAATGATATGCAATCTGTGCCTTACTCCAATGCAATTGGATCTGTTATGTATCTTATGGTTTGTACTCGGCCTGATATTGCATATGCAGTTAGTTGTTTAAGTAGATATATGTCTAATCCCGGTATGCCGCATTGGGAAGCGCTTAAATGGCTTCTTCGTTATTTGAAAGGTTCATTGAACTTGGGATTAAATTTTTCCAAATCTAATAATGGTGTTGAGTTAATCGGATATGTGGATTCTAATTTTGCTAATGATAGAGATAATAGGAAATCTACTACTTCTTATGTGTTTACTTTGTGTGGCTCTTGCATTAGTTGGAAATCTCAGTTGCAACGTATAGTAGCTTTATCTACTACTGAAGCAGAGTACATAGCTGCAACCGAGGCTATAAAAGAAGCACTTTGGCTTAAAGGTCTTCTTAAGGAAATTGGTTTCTTAAATGGAGAAGTAGTTGTCTATTCAGACAGTCAATCAGGTATTCAACTGTGTAAGAACCCGGTCTTCCACGAGAGAACTAAACACATACAAATTAAGTATCACTTTATTCGTAACATAGTGGATCGTGGCAAAATTAGACTTGAAAAAATCCCATCCGAATTTAATCCTGCTGATATGGGTACTAAGTGCCTACCCATCGAAAAATTCAGATCTTGCTTGAAAAATCTGAATTTTGAGACGAAAGGTTGATTTACTTTATGTATTTCATTTTTTATTGCTTTCGTAGAATAGGTTATTTATTTATGCTAATAAATTATGCACTAACTGTTTTTCCCGTTGAGTGCAGGTACAATAAAAACGGCAATGATGATCACATACATTCCCTGTACCATTTGATCCCAGGTGGAGAGTGTTGGAAAAGTTGGGCCCAAATGGTCCATATATTGAGACTGGCCCAACACCTCAATTAATTTCGTGGCCCATTCCTCGGAGGCAGCCCAAACACCAAGCTGGCCCAGCAGCTTAAGTTGTAAGTTAATCTGGACCGTCAATTTTGAGAGGTAATCTCAGCCCTCCATATGACACATAAATACTCCATCTCTCTTCCATTTCTCCTCCATATCAAACCCTAAAAACGGCTGCACCTCTCCCTCTTTCTCTCTCGAATTTTTCTGCAACAACTCACCGCTTCTGCCGCCGAATATGGCGTTGCTAGAATCGGATGCGAAGAAATCGCTAAATTTGTTGTTTTTCGGGTTTATTTATACCCCTCCTTGAGAGACGAGGGAGTGACGACGATAGCTAAGTTATACAGCCCCTTTTCTTGTTCAATTTCCCATTTTTCTTCGTGATTTGAGTGGGTTAACAGATCTGTGTGATTTGTGAGAGTTCTTTGTGAGTTCGGTGTTTCTGTGTGAGAACAAGAAAAGAGGGGCCTTCTGTGGGTTTTAGATCTTGGATATTTCCAAGATCGGTTCTGGGTTCGGGTCGAGAAAAGAGTGAGGAGAGATTGAGTGTTTTTGCTGCGTGTTTGGGCTTGTCACCGGAATCGTTGGCTGCCTCATCCGGGATCGGTGTGTAGCTCGTGGGAACTGTGAACTGAGCCGTGGATTCTCCTCAGATCTGATAGATAGATCTTCTGGGTTAGCATAAATAATAAATATATATTGTGTAATCTTTATTATTTCTGCTTTATTCTTAGAATTGCTTGTACTCCCTAACCCCTTATTCCCATAGGATTTAATCTGTAATTTATTACAGTTTATGTTTATTATTTGGTCTGTAATAACTATTGAGTTCAACGGGTACCCAACAGAAAGAATGGAGTAGACAAAGAAATTGAGAGTGAAGAATTTATAGTAGGTGGCCATACATGGACAATTCGATTCTATCCCGTAGGAAAAACAATCGGAGATCACAATTCCGGTTTTGCATCACTGTTTATATTTCTCAAGAAACCGACTAGTTATCCCATTCGATTTTTATACGACGTGACCGTATTGGATCAATCAAATAAAGGCAAAGATTATTGCGGTTACTCAAATTTCAAAAGCTACCCTTATTTTGGAATCGCATTGGCTAGGCCCGGAAATAGTGCCATGTTTGGATGTCCTCAATTCATTAAGCGAAAAACACTTGAATCTTCTCACTATTTGAAAGACGATTGTTTGAAGTTTCGTGTCACTATTGGAGTTTTGAGTTCTCGAAACCATAATCTCCATCTTATAAAGGTTCCGGAATGTTCTAATATCGGAGCGGATTTCGGGGAGTTGTTGCACAGTAAGGAAGGGGTTGATGTGTTTTTTAAAGTGGGAAATGAGAGATTTTGTGCTCATAAGTGGATATTAACGGCCCGTTGCCCTTTATTTCTCCGGCATCTTCAGGATCATTGCAAGGAAATTGAGATTACGGATATGGAACCTAGGATATTCAAGGTATCATGCTTTTTTAGTTTGTGTTGTCAATGCCAAAAATTATGGTTTGTTGTTTGTTGCAAGGAAATCGAGATTACGAATTATTTTTTACTTTGTTAATTACTTTCTCCGTTTCAAAATAAATATCTTTTGAGGTTAGTGCACATCAGTTAAGAACGGGGAAAATAAGAGTGATTGAATACTCTCGATTCTAGGTTAAAAAAAATCTTATTTGACAAAATAACCCCCTGTGTCTTTTAATCTGTCTTTATTACTTCATTAATCTGTCATTAATAGTAGGGCCGGTAAATTAAAGTTGATAGAAAAATGTCCAATTTTTTAAATTTAAAGTGACATCTACTGTGGAAAAAAATTAAGTATGGGTAATTGATTTGTTTAATATTTAACCATGTAAATAAACTTGAAGTTGCTAAAATAACTTTATGATTGTTCTTCTCTATTTCATTTTTTGTAGGCCATGCTATGGTTTGTGTATACAGGAAATCTTCAGGAGGAAGACGATGAAGAATATTCTAATCCGTCGATTCTCGAATCTTTTATGGGGAAGATGCTTGCAGTAGCCGATAGATACGAGTTCAAAGGACTTAAAAATATATGCGAATTTCGTATTTCGACAAGAATTTCCGGAAAATCAGTTCCATACTTGTTGCATTTAGCACAACTTTATAATGCTAATGAATTGAAAATGGCATGTGTCAGATTTGTAGCTGAAAATGAATCTGGATTAGGTATTATTTTTATTTATTATTATTATTATTTATTTTTTTATGTTGTAAAAGTAATTTGGTTGGTGTGGATTTTTCAGGAATCATGGATTCAAATGGATATAAATATCTCAAAGAAACTTGCCCATTATTATTTCTAGAGTTGGCTTATAAAGAAAAGGGTTCAATCAACAAACATCAGGTAATTATTTAATTTTTAAATTGTATTAATTAATAATGTTGTTTTGTTTAATATTATTTAATTATTCACATGATGTTAATTTGTTCATATATATATATATAGGAACGTGATTTATGCAGCAAATTGTTATCTTCGGTGAAGGGGAGTTTTGTAACTATGTTAGCGCCTGAAAATAAAATTGATGAGAAGCACAAGATAAAGAAGAAGGCGTAAGTTTGGCTTTATTATTAATTAAATGCTGATTTTGATTTGACTCTTTGGTTGTAGCATTCATTATTACATAAATAAATACATTATGGGGTTTCTTTTTATTTATTATTTATTGTTTTTAGTTTAATTTTTTTTTTGTTATCTATTGTTTTTTATTTATTTATTGTTTTTAGTTTAATTTATTACATAAACAAATACATTATTGTTTTTGTTATCTTTGGTTTATATATATACAAATTATGTGATGGTCAATGGTCAATCATAATCGATAGCTAATATTTACTCTCACAAATCAAATATTTTATCAATCGACCAAAAAAAAGGAACGAATTTAAATAAATTATAAAACCGAACTACTCAATGTTCGATTTGAGATTAAACTTGAACACAAGTTTATTAATAAAAAATAGGTTAAATTACAACCATCCATACGAGGTACAGTCAAATCACCCATCAATTATAAATCTTCTTCCACGTCTATCCTTGCGGTTTCAAATTTAGTGGAATCTTTTAGATTGTATGGAATATTATCACTTTTGTACCCGTTTTATCTCATTTGAGCTCCACATTTTGAAGCAAGATGATCATAAGATATGTTTTTTGGCTTGTATATATCAGATTGTGGTGCATCAGAAATTGCATTTGGCACAAAATAAATACAAACTAGAGCGAATTCCACGAAATCTAGAAGATTATGTTGAATTTAACACCATAAGGATGGGCGTGTAAGAAGATTCATAGTTGATGGTGGCAGATGTAATTATCCAAACAAAAAAGAATTTTCGTAATTTGACCATACATCACGGGTGATTGTAATTTTTACCCTAAAAAATATGAATCTCGATTCATCACACTCAAGTTCAATTAATTAGAGAAAAAAATGATAACGTATGTAAAACAAAGCTTGATAAAAAGAAAGAAGAAAAAAGAAAAAAGTAAAAGTAGTAGCTCTTTGTTATAAATTACTCTTTTAACTATTAATAGGGGGTTGGATAAAGACAAAATTCGATTATTATGACATTTATCCCAAATGAGTACAACTATAATAACTTCCACTTCAAGGAAGAAATTAAAATTAGTAATGGATGCATCAGTTGTCAAACTTATGCACCGATTTAGTTAGCGCATTTGGTAACATAAGTAATACCAAATATGTCAAAATAAATACATAAATAGATAATAATAATAATAATAATAATAATAATAATAATAATAATAACCAAAACGATTTAATTGGTGTTTGTCGATGTTATAACTATCAAATAATGTTTCTCTAAGTTCTGCACGTTTTTTCTCAATCTATGTAAATTAGGGTTGTAAAAATGACCACTTTCTGTTTGTCCTTGATGAAAAAGGAAAAGCGCATAACGATTTATGTACTTGACCAAGTTTGTTCAAAAAATAAAAGGGTAAATTACAACTACCCCTGATATATGGTTAAATCACAAAACCTCTCCTCTTGTTTGGGTAATTACAAACACCCCCTCAATTATAAATCTTCTACATATTGTGGTGCATCAGAATCTGTATTTTTGCACAAAAACGAGTACAAACTAGAGAACATTTCGCGGAATCTAAAAGATTATGTTGAATTCGACACCATAAGCATGAACGTGTAAGAAGATTCACAGCTGAGGGGTAGTTGTAATTATCAAAACATGAGGGTTTTTTTCGTAATATGACCGTGCCTCAGGGGTAGTTGTAATTTACCCTAAAATAAAAGTAGGGTGATTGACTTATTGTGTAATTTGAAACTTTATATTTTGACTTTTTATAGAACCTCGTGTATATATTGTCTTCTCCAAAGCTCCGTGACACTACATTGATCTAAATATGACCTTTTTTAAATGTAAATATAAATTTTATTTTTTTAGTTCTTCCTTTGAAATAAATTCATCTTCAAATGTATATACATTCAAAATCAAGAAAAAATAGGGGCAAGATTTTCTTTTTAATTTCCTAATCTTATAACTCAAAGTCATATTTGTTTTAGTTAGTCTTATAAGTCAAAGTAAGCATGAAAAGAAAAAGAAAAAAAAGACATTCGCTAATTAAACATTTTCTCCATATTGATATATAGTACGTACTAATATAATTTAGGGCTTCATCTACAACATAAAAAAACATTTGCCAAATATTTTCTCCATCTCTCTCTCTCTCTAAATTTCGCTCTCTCTAGAAATGGATAACACCAACATGAAGGAGAAACTGTATCGTGTCGGAAACGACAAACTTTGCACCCTTGCATGGGGCATTGTTGGACTGTGTTGCTCTGGTGCAGCACCGTCATACTTAATGATCAACCAAGGATCAAAATCGGTGGTCAAGACGACGATTTGTGTTCTAGTGTTTGTGAACCTGTTTTATTTGGGAGGATATGCAGCAAGAGACACCTATTTCATGCGAAAAGGGATGATGGCGTATAAGTACGGATGGGTTGGCAACTCGGGGATGAATTACGTAGTTTCTGGCATTGTCGTATTTGCAGCTGTGAAGCACGAAATTACTATCAACATGGTGTATGGACAGTTGCTGATGTGTATGGGGGTTTTTGGATTGGTAGAGCTTTCGAAACCGGTCACGGATTTTGGATTGCTCCAAGTTTCCCTACGGCTGCCTGTCCAAACAGCTGCCGTCTTGGTTCATAAAGGTGTTGCGAATTGGCATGTGCTTCTTCTCTCTAGTCTCGTTTTGTTTTTCTGCACGCTTTGGCAAAGTGTTTATTTACACTCGTATGATCGGCCGGTGGTTATTCAAGGTGCGGGGCCCGCACAGAACCAGGCGCCGGTCTTACAACTAGTTGACAATCTAAGTGAGGGCGGCGTTCAAGTCCCACTTCCGGCGGCATAAGCTGGGCCGTGATCAGTATGCATGCAAAATAATAAATAAAATAAAATATGGGCATGCTACGTATATATATATATATATATATATATATATATATATATATATATATATATATATATATATATATATATATATGTGTGTGTGTGGTTTGTTTTTTTGCATTTTTTCTCATTAATTTAGGTTATGTGTGTGTGTGTGTTTTTTTTTTTTTTGGTCAATTAGGTTATGTGTGTTGGTGTGTTAAAAATTGGTATGTTTGGGAATTTTAATTTATGCAGCATATAGTGGATTGATGTTTTATGTAAATAGAACTTAAATAAATATTAATTATTATATTGTTTGGCTTTTGTCCACTCTCTCTCATTTTTTCTTTTATTTAATTGTCACTTGAATTATGAATTTTGAATATTTAAGTGAATTCGATCGGGATTAAGAAAGAAAAAGATTAAATATTTTGAGGTTAGTTCTGATTAAATTGTAGAATTTTAAATGATGATTTTAATTTAGCCCTGAAATCATTTCTATTTATGAATTAGCCAGGCCTCTAAAAAATGAATTTAAAAAAAGGAAAGCTTGATATATGTATATGGCACTTGATCAAGTATGTAAAAAATAGGCATAATTAACATTAATCTTTGAAGTTAAAAGTAATATCATATTCAATATTCAATAAAAATTAAATGCTGTGAGCAAATTAATATCCTAGTAATTAATAATATAAAATTAAGTTTAATTAAGAACCAAAAATCCAAATCCCCTAACTTGAAGTAGGCGTGCCGCGTGCGTCATTGACATATTTTCTATATATGGAGTAAGTAATACATTCCAAATAATCCGAATCTAATTAATTACATTTAAAATCGAATTAAAGCTTATGATTTTGTATCAATGAATTTAAATAGAAATGAAAATAATTCCACAATCACAAATTAAATTTGATACACAATGACATTTAAAAATATTGTAGAGGGAGTCCATGGATTCACATTGGAGAAATACTCGTTGTGTAAGGGCTTCGGCGTAGGAGAATGCTTTCAGGGTAGCAACAATTTCACCGTCGGAGGCCGCACGTGGGCTATTTACGTCTTTCCCGAGGGGACAATATCGGACAAAACCCACGGTGGAGACAGATACGAACAAGGACACGTGTACTTTGGTCTTCATATTCGTCTTGTCAGTACTAAAAGCGACAAAGTCCTTTTACGTTTTAAGATGACGATACTCGACCAGAGTGGTAACGGCGATCATTGGACACAGTCTTCGCTTCACCTCTCCCCTGTCTCTATCGCCCCACTTCAGGATTCAAACTTCCCATGCTTTATCGATCGAGAAATTCTCGAAAGTAATAATTCTTCCTATCTTAGAGATGACTGCATCAAAATCGAATGCACAATCGGGGTTGTGGGCCCGCCCGACATGCGATTAATCTCGATTCCGAAATACTGCAACGATGTTGGAGTCGATTTTCTTGCCATGTTCAAGGCAGGGGAAGGTTGTGATGTTGTTTTGAATGTGAGGGGACATAAATTCCGTGCACATAGGGTGATTCTATCGGCACGCTCCTCGGTTTTTAAGTCCATGTTTGCTCCTAGTAAAAAAGAAATAATCATCGGAAACGTCGAGCCTCGGGTGTTTAAGGTAATTTTTTGAAACAAGTACTCCATCTTTCCCATTTTAGTACACATAATTTAGGGCAGAAATTTAATAACTATTGATATATTTTTAGGAGAAGAATTACTAAAATACCCTTGTCATTAATTATTTCTTAACAACTCGCTATGGTTGATATTTATCTTTAAATTAATTAAGAGTTGAATTTTCGATCGTAGAATAATTTTGGTTTCTCTTTATATGTAAGGCATTATTGCACTTTATATACTCGGACACTTTCCCGGAAGATGAAAAGTGTTTGGTGGATGGATATGCATTTGGGGCGGCATCGGTATCGAGCACAATGGCAGCGAAATTGTTTGCAGCAGCAAATCAATATGATATGAAGCGTCTGAAAAGCATTTGTGAATCTCATTTGTGGAGGAGCATTTCTCTTAAACGCTTCGGCGAGATTTTGTCGCTAGCGGAGCTGTGTAATGCGCCCGATTTAAAGCTTCTTTGCTTCAAATATGCTGCTGAATACTATGATGGTACATATAGTTGTTTCGTTTATAATTAGTTTTATTATTAATTATTATTATTGAATTATGAGTAATAATTATATATATTGCAGTTTTAGCCTAGTCGGATAATTTGAGTTACCTTGAAAAAAACTACCGGATGCTGCTCGATGAAATGAATGACTACATAACAAAAGAAAGATCGTTATTGTTGTGATAAGGATCGGAGATGAAGAAATAAGTTCCAGTTAACCGGTGGCTTACAATTTATTCGATAATCCAAACGTGTATAAAAATAGACAATACAATCATCAAATTAAAGAAGTAATAAATCCCAAGGAACTATCTACTTGTCGAATCTGATTATGCAACGTTTTCATATATTCGAAATCAACTGTAACATGAATCCAGCTTCACAATACATTAAATATGATGAACCCAAACATTCTTACTTCATATAGATGTACAAATCACTTCTATCCATTATGTATTTTCAATCCATTAAACTGCAAATAGCATACATAATCAATCGGTTGAAAAGTTCATCAAACTCAAAAACAATATTGGCATATTGGGATAAATAATCTATATATAAAACATAAACTTTTTATCAAAAACTAAACTATCTTGGATGACAACCAAATATATAAAATGTAATGTTTTTAACTTGGGGTTAGTATATAAACATGCCCTCAACTTTTTACACAGCGTTTTGATGGGCCCACATGGCTCTTAATGGGCCCACTACAACTTTTTCATCTACTAAGGCTTGCTTTTTCATGCGCAAGGCCCAGCTTAGTGTTTTTACGGCCCATTCCACGTGGAAAAATATTTATATTAAAACAAAAAAGTGTATTTTGACTAATATATAACCATTGTTTCATAAAAATTTCACCTTACGTTAGGGGTGGCCGTAATTTGCCCTTAAAAATATGTTGTTTGTAATTGGCAATGGTAGGGGATTTTAAACCAAAATAGCAAATTCATAGCAGCACCTTGCAAAATTTACTGAGTTTATTGAGTAACATGCAAAATAACATATAGTTTATTAGGAAGTATACAAGTCCTTTTCTATTCTAAATTATTATATATAGCACTCGAATTTTATATATTCTTAGTCAAATTGAATTGAAATTTTTAACAGTTATGAATAGGACATTTTCTATTCTAAACTATATATGCGTTTTGATAATTTTTTTGAAATATCATTTTAATAATACCATATTAATTGTATTGTATATTTTGAAAACTTTTTGGAATTAATTTCCATATATTTTGGGAGTTATGCATGGTCAAAAGATTATTTAAGACAAAAAATTATTTGTTCGTATTTCAAATTGTTATAGTGAGAAGGTAATGCATACTATAACGTAACAATCAAATTATAACTATACGCGTGCGCATGCGTGCACCAAAATTACTAATTCCCGAACATAACATTAGAGTAGTAGGTTATAGCTTTGCAAATCATATTGTCACCCTTTATGGGCTCCTTCGACCCTACACCTAGTGTGTCGTTTCTCGAGCTTTTACGTCAAATATATCTCAGACTTTTTCAAGCATGTATGGACTTGAAACAAATAAATAAATTGTCTTTCCAAGCATATGTATGGACTTGAAACAAATGAATTTGCCAAAACATTTTTAAATTTTTACACAACCTTAGCTAAAAAATATTATTTTGGATATTGCTTTACTTCTTTATTTTGAACAAGCGGTTTCGTAATATGAACCAATAATTTATAATTTTGAGTAGTGTTTCAAACCGTGAACATGTGATTCCAACCGTAAACAAGGATGTTGTTAACTACAAGTATCACAATTAATAAGCGGTTACGTAATATGAACCAATAATTTATAATTTTGAGTAATTTTTCAAACCTTGAACAAGAGGTTTTAACCGTAAACGAGGATGTTGCCAACTATAAGTATCACTATTAACATATTTAACAAAGCAATACTTAATAAATTGTAGATAAGTGATCATTTATCACATTGATTGTAGAGTAAATCAAATGAATACCTCCAATCATATATAGATTTTCAGTATGAACCAATTTATTTATATTTATCTTCATCTTGTTTTTTTGTAAACATGGCATTGAAGCCAAAATAATCATTTGAATTGATTGGTGCGAGGTTAGATCCTTTTTAAAATTTGTATTTTAATATAGTTGATTACTCTCTCTCTCTCTCTCTCTCTCTCTCTCTCTCTCTCTCTCTCTCTCATTATTTTTTTACATTTTTTTAGTATATATATATTTCAAACTAAGATTTGAAAATTATAGCAAGTAATGCATGGTCTAAACTATTTGAAATTTAGTTTCTGATTTGAAATAGGTGGTTCACGATTCGAAAATGTTAGTTTAAAGTTTGAAATCGATTGTTCAATAATCATAATGGCCAGCTCTAAAATCGAAATTTTTTGCTTCAAAGTCGAAAACATTCGGATCATAATCAGTTCGAACGCGTGAGTCTATGATCGCGATTACGGTGAATATATCTGTCTCCATTGTTGTTGTGAGTGTGCCAGTGTTCCATCATGTCTCTGCTCCTACGACCGGAGGACAAATTCTATTAGTGGTTTGGATATTCTGCCTTTTTGGATATGTAGGCCGACATTTGATTAATCTGCCTTTCAATGGTTACGAAAATAGAGATCGCCGTCATTGTTGCCGTCATTGAAAAATCAACCACGAAGTCATTCCTCTCCCGGAAGAATGGCGTCCCCTTGAGCACCAATGCTCCGACGAGATAGACTAGCAGCGCCACCGTGCCGGTGTATGCACCAAATTTGTAGGCATGTCCCTTGTCCTCCGGCTGGAGTATGAGCGCCGGCGCCGCCGCCGCACAAGCTACCCCGGCCACCGCCACAGTGAACTCGGTGACCGGAGATGTACCGAACGTCCGGAGCTGCCTCAGCAGATATTGAGCCGCCATTAGAGAGAGATTGACCAAGCTAAGGGTGAGAGAGAGAGAGATACTTGGGTGGTGTTTGGAAACTGGGATGGTTCGTGCTTCTGTCTGAGAAGAGTATGGTTTTAGAGAGAAGAAATAATACTCGTGTGTTTAGGGTAAGGGATATATATATATTTAAAGGATCCACTCATATCCCTAAAAACCTAATGACATGTAAATGATTTAATCTTTTTTTATTATTATTATTATATTAATATTTACTTTAAGTGTTAAATAATTTTCTGATTTAATTTTATCTAAACCTTATTAATTGCTTTTTATTTCAATTAAAATGGAAAAGAAAGGAAAATAATAAATAAAAATATATATGGAAGAGAAAGGAAAATAAAATAAATATAAAATGGAAAAGAAAATAAAACGTGACCGTAGACGTGTTGTCTGAATATTAATTACTATTCTTGTGCAAGTATTTTTCTGATACTCAATTGGGCTTTTGCCAAACAAAAGACCTACTGCTGGTCTTATTTCTGTCTACCCTACGCTTCAACGGCTGAATACTGTCCTTTTTTTTTTTTTTTTTCTTTTTCATGCTCTACTTTAATTTATTGTATGTATGATAAATTGTGGTTTAAAATTTTATTTACTTGATTACAAGACAATGAAAGTGATTTTCAAATTTAAATATTACTCTTTCAAAATTAATGTTTTTTGTTTATTTTAGAATAATATATAATTAAATTTAAATGATTACTTTCTCAGGGGGTACGGTGGGGTGTTTATGGTATAATATTGAGACGAATATTAGGGGATATTTATATTATAATAATATACAAATGTAAGGGTAGTTTTTGTTTTTCCCTAAACCCTAATCACATTAAGTAAGCTAAAATTGTAATATTCTCTAGCATTTTGTCCTCTAAATAAAAATATTTGTGTTAAATAAAGTGGAGCGTATATATAAATATAATCTTTAATTACACAGTCATAATTTGTTGATATATAATCCGTAATTAAGTTGATACATACGCCAATTATATTTATAATTTGACCCTTGAGACTCTTAATTAATTTGTTGTTGGAGATCAAATGTAATAGATCATACACTAATTAAAATTTTAAATTATTTATATAATACAAATAATAGTTTACTTATAGATATATAAATAATAGGTTCAATATAAATTTTCACAAGAACTTGATTGTATAGTTATATAGACAAAATAAACATATAATATAAGTTGAGTTTCTGATTTGAGATCCGATTTTAATTTTTTAAAATAATTCGAAAAAATCTTTCTCCTCCCCAAAAGTTATACTATATAGTATTAATATTTACTCTGTGTTACATATTTTTAAGTGACTTAAAATTAGAATTTTTGAATTTCACCGATTTTGGAAAGAGAAAATCTCATTTCGATTTCCGATATTTCCGGATTTTGTTTTGGAACGAATTAAAATTTGAAATAGTTTTTTACTTTTCAAAATAATCAGAATTCTTTTGGAAGTTCTATAATTCCGATTTGTGTGATTACTGATTTTCATATTAATTGGCGACCAAGCTTCTTTAATTTGAAATGTACGTTCTGTGCATATAGTACGATAAATTGATAATATAAACGTGTACACTATGCCATGCATGCTTACAGTTATTCATTGAATTTAATTTTACTACTATAGTACTACTACTACTATTATATATATATATATATATATATATATATATATATATATATATATATATATATATATATATATATATATATATATATTACGTCCACTCCTGATTTATGACCAAATTACAAAAAACCCCATTATGTTTGGGTAATTATAGTCACCCTATCAATTATTTATTATCTTATGAAAATACCCATCTAAAGGTAAATTTAGGGATGTTAAATCGGTAAAAATCGAACCGAAATTTCGGTACGCCAACATTTCATATCGTTACCGAACTGAATATACGATTTCATTCAGTAAATAACCGAATTACATAAATTTTATGTAAAAATATTTAAAAGGTGAGAGTGCGTATAATTACCCAAATAAGATGGGGTTTTTTCTTCATAAATTGGCCATACATTAGGGGTGGCGTAATTTGCCCTTAATATTTTTGTTTATTTTTTACTTATTTGAATATCCA